TGATTGAGACTAAACTTGTCTCCTTTAGCAACAGGGGTGTCACCTGGTCTGCAATCTTGCATGCCAAACCTTTTAAGTACCTTATCGATATAGCTCTTTTGTGATAATCCAAGAATACCCCGAGAGCGATCTCGATGTATCTGGATCCCTAATATAAAAGAGGCGTCCCCAAGATCTTTCATCTCAAAATTCTTTGATAGAAATCTCTTGGTTTCGTGCAACATGCCTATATCATTAGTGGCAAGCAAGATGTCATCGACATACAGAACCAGAAAAATATACTTACTCCCACTGAACTTGTGATATACACAGTCATCAACAATGTTCATCTCAAAACCGAACGAGATAACTATTTGTTGAAACTTATGATACCATTGACGAGGAGCTTGCTTGAGTCCATAGATGGATTTCCTTAATTTGCAAACCATATTCTTTGGGTCTCCTGACACAAAGTTTTCAGGTTGCACCATATAAATCATCTCATCAATGTCTCCATTGAGAAATACAGTCTTAACATCCATCTGATGTAACTCAAGGTCATAATGAGCAACAAATGCCATGATTATTCTGAAAGAGTCTTTCGATGAAACCGGAGAGAAAGTCTCTGTATAATCAATGCCTTCCTTTTGACTATAGCCTTTAGCCACAAGACGCGCCTTATACCTCTCCACATTACCGTTTGCATCCCGCTTGGTTTTAAAAATCTATTTACAACCAATTGGTTTTGCACCTTCTGGTAATGGGACAAGTTCCCAAACCTTATTGTCTTGCATAGACTTGTACTCTTCATTCATGGCATCAATCCACTGTTGAGAGTTAGAACTTTTTATGGCCTGAGAGAAGTTGATTGGATCATCTTCCAACATTCCACTACTTTCCTCATGTTCTTGGAGAAATACAATATAATCATCCGGAATAGCATTTCTCCTTTCTCTCGTGGATCTCCTTAATGGCACTGGTTCTTGAGGTTGTTGAGTTTGTTCTTCTGGAACAGGGAGTTGTTCAACATTATCATCTTGAGGTTCTGGATTTACTTCTTGAGCAACAACAGGTATAGGAGCCTGAATATTGTCAAAAGTAACTGTATGGATTGGATCTGAAGCCAATTCCTCCTCAAAACTAATGTCTCTAACCTTATTTCTCCCCCCAAACTCAACATCCTCAAAGAATGTTGTTATTCCCGTCTCAAAAATATTCCTTATAGTGGGATCATAAAACTTATAGCCTCTAGAGCGTTCAGAGTATCCATTAAAATAGCTGCTAACTGTTTTGGAGTCCAATTTCTTTTCATTTGGCCTATAAGGCCTTGCCTCAGCTGGACATCCCTAAATATGTAAATGCTTTAAACTGGGCTTTCGACCAGTCCAAAGCTCATAAGGTGTTTTAGCAACTGCTTTACTTGGTACTCTATTCAGAATGTAAGCTGCTGTCTTAAGTGCTTCTCCCCAGAGAGACTCTGGTAAAGAAGAATGAGCTATCATACTTCTTATCATATCCTTAAGAGTCATGTTTCATTTTTCAGCTACACCATTCATGCTAGGTGAACCCGGCATGGTGTACTGTGGGACGATACCGCATTCCTCTAGGTATCTAGCAAATGGTCTTGGACGTTGTTCACCTGAACCATCATATCTGCCGTAGTACTCACCACCACGATCAGATCTAACGGTTTTAATTCTTCTGTTGAGTTGATTCTCAACTTCAGCTTTATAGGCTTTGAACATGTCCAGAGACTCAGATTTTTTATGAATAAGATATAGGTGCCCATAACGTGAGTAATCGTCTATGAATGATATAAAATATTGTTGACCATTCCAGGATTCCGTAGGGAATGACCCACAAATATCTGTATGTATCAATTCTAAGACATCCGAAGATCTGTTGGCACCTAATCTTTTCACTTTGGTATGTTTTCCCTTGATACATTCAACACATACGTCGAAGTTCGAAAAATCAAGGGAATCCAAAATACCATCAGACACAAGACGCTCAACTCTACCTTTTGAGATATGACCCAAGTGCTTATGCCATAATGTTGCCGAATTTTCTTTATTTAATTTACGTTTAGTACCACGCGATTCCGCATGCAAAGTTTCATTATAAGAAGTAATTGTATCAATCAAATATAGGTTGTCATAAGTACTCAAATAACCGGTTCCCACAACATTTGAATTAAAAGATAAACTGAATTGATTGTTTCCAAATGAACAAGAATAACCTGATTTGTCCAATACAGAAACTGAAATCAAATTCCGTCTAAAAGACGGTACTACAAAAGTATCTTTTAAATCCAAATAATAACCAGTTCCTAACAACAACCTAAAGTGCCCAATTGCTTCCACATCTACCGATTGTCCGTCGCCCACAAAGATGTGTCTTTCAACATCACTTGGCTTTCGGTAGCTCAGGCAACCCTGCATAGAAACACTTATGTGAGTAGTAGCACCAGAGTCTAACCACCAAGTGTTTCTAGGTACTGAAGCTAAATTAACCTCAGAACAGACCAAAGCAAGGAACGTACCCTTATTATCACGCCAGGCGTGATATTTTGTACAGTCCTTCTTTACATGTCCAGGCTTCTTACAGAAGAAACAACCCTGATTATCCTTATGTTGTTTCTTCTCAACTGGACCCTTAGCAGCTTCCTTATCATTCTTCCTTTTCTTGCCCTTATCCTTAGAGGCATAGGCCAAATGAGCACTTTCTGTCTTATCTTACTTCAACATGTCTTCTTCTTGCACACAGTATGAAATGAGCTCATTTAGAGTCCATTTCTCCTTTTGACAGTTATAACTGACCTTAAATTGATTAAACTGTGCAGGAAGAGCAACAGAACCAGATGCACTAGTAACTCATCACAAAGGTCGAGTTGAAGTGCCTTAAGTTTTGAAGCAATATGAGACATTTCCATAATGTACTCCCTGATGTTTCCCTTGCCCTTATACTTCATCGAAATCAAGCGAGCTAAAAGCGTGCTTGTTTCTACCTTATCGTTTTTAGCAAAACGCTTCTCAATTTCGGCAAGGAAATCTTTAGCCTTAGTAATCCCTTCGGATTCTATGCCCCTGAAGGCTTCCGGAACGCCGCGCTTAATGATCATAAGACTCATGCGATTTGAACGCTCCCACTTCTCATGCTCCTTCTTTGCATCAGGAGTGCTATCCGCATTGAGAGGTTGGGGTTGTTCAGTTCTTAATGCATAGTCAAGATCCATGCAGCCAAGAACAATTAATATGTTCTCTTTCCAAACCTTGAAGTTTGTCCCATTTAGCATGGGAATTGAGTTGATGTTAGCAGAAATTGTTGCAGCAGATGCATTAGCTGAAATAAAACAAAAATGCTCACATCAATAACCATAATCAATAAAATTCAAATAATGACAATCCCCATCCAAGATACCGGCACAACATTAATATCAAGTCTTTGGACAGTAATATTAACTTGTAAGTGATACCTTGTTGCAATGATCAAACATTGACAATAACTCATGTCAAATAATGAAACTATCTTTGGATCGATTCATTATTCACATGTAAACCTTATAATTGTCACACGCTTATCATCACAGATGTGTATACAGTCTAAATAAATATTAACCTTCCTTTGGGCCGATTAAATATTTACACGAAAGCATACACACAAACATCTCACATTCCTCATGAACAATCTACACAAGAGAGGTTACTTTGGCAACTTCTTGTTTCAATTAATCAATTGGAGTGAGAGACAACCTTAATACCTTAGTGTCATAATATTTGAATTAAATAATTGATTAAAAACCGAATTAGATTTAAATTAAAAAATTTAAATCAACTGAATTTCCAAAAACTTAATTGGGGTCTCACAGCTTAATTAGGGCCCATAACTTAATTGAATAAATTAAGTATACCAAAGTGGACCCATGAAAAGCCGAGGCTTAACCATAATGAACACGAAGTTCCCTTAACTTCGAACGCGAGGTTCGACTGTATTGAGTACGAGACTCACTTAAGCACGAACGCGAGGTTCGTCTGAAAATGAACGAACGCGAGGTTCGTTTGATAAAAGAACGCGAGGTTCAACTTGGGAACGAACGCGAGGTTCGTTTAAAAATGAACACGAGGTTCGTCTGAAGTTCGAACGCGAAGTTCGTCTGAAGTACGAACGCGAGGTTCGTCTGAAGTTCGAACGCGAGGCTCGACTGAAGCACGAACGCGAGGTTCGTCAAAATTGAGCTTGACGCTCACCTGAGTTGAACGCGAGGTTCACCTTAGAACGAACGCTTTATTTTCAAAACCAGATCCAGAATTGGAAAAGCAAAAGATGATTTCTTGTTCCAGATCCCAAAAAAATTGAAGAAAAAATCAAAGAAAAAAATCCAAAAAATTCCAAAAAGCTACTGTTCACCGGCGATTTTTCAGTGACTGTTCATCCGAAAAAAAACTTTACTGTTCATCCGAAAGTTTTCGTTACTGTTCATCCAAACAAAAAAAATTACCGAATCTTTAACCAGAGATTTAAGATCAAAAAACCCAATAAAACTTAAATCCCTAAGAATTAATCAAGGTGGCTCTGATACCACTTGTTAGATCTAAACCAAAACTTGAGATCTAAAACCATATAGCCATGATTAATTCAAAGAGATTAACAAGAATCATAGATGAGCGGAAGCTTATACCTGAATCCATGGATGAACCTTGAGATGGGTTTTGGATCTTCTAACCTTAGGGTTTCTCTAAATCCGAATTTCTCTAGCTAGATGGGGGTGTAGAGAATTAGAGAATGTAACCCTAGGTTAGGGACCATAACCCCTTATTTATAGATATTGTACTTTTGTAATTTAGCCCCTCAATAAATCACAATTACAACCTGGTATCTGCACATATAACCCCATGACTTATTTAATACCCAATTAACCCAAATTAATTGATCACTTAGTGGGTTATCCTGAAAGATAGCAATACACATTGATTAATCATATGTGCCCACAAATAGATTTATTAGATTAAATCCAACAATTTTTAGCTGTGTTAACTTCCTGTGCTTCCTCTGAGGCTATTGAAGAAGGGTTGATTCATTTGGATTCAATGAGTAAGGCGTATGGGATAACACCAGGAGTTGAGCATTATATTGGGATGATTGAGGTTTTAGGGAAATCGGGGCATTTGAATGAGGCTGTGGAATATATTGATAAATTACCGTTCGAATCACCGGCAGATGTTTGGGAGTGTTTGATGAATTTGGTGTTGCGCGCAGCGGAAATTTCGGCAGCACTTCGGCAGCACAACAAGAGAGTCAGGACGCAATAAGAATTATTGTTTCTCAAAGGGAACAAGAATCTGAAGCCTAATATCTAATCAAAGTAGGATATTAGCTCTTCCTCTCGTCAGCTCTAGGACTGCGCGTCGACGGAACCTAAAAGCTATTACAAATCACACAAATAGCAGTACAACCAATTTTTACGTGGTTCGGCAAATTGCCTACGTCCACGGGGCAAGGAGGGGGGAGATATACTATTAGAGGGAGAGAATACAACTAGAGTTTACAATCACTCACAACCTAAACCCTCAAACAAACTCTCAAATCCCTCACACAAATACTCTCTCAAAGGGATGCACAAAACCCTAAAAGGGACTACACAAAATCTCCTTCGCACAAGAAAATACTCAGCGGCTAAAGATCCTTGCACGCACTCTGTTCTTGCACCCCACAACCGCCAATTAAACAAAACTCCTTGCTACTTTTTCACAAAAACCTAGGTGCATTTATATGCACGAATTGTGAAATCGGGTGGGCCTTGAAGCCTTGCACGTGGGTGGCCCCCACTATAAATGCGTTCACACAATTCTCCACCTCGGTGAAGTTTTCTCAAAACTGAGCCGACACCATAGCATCCAAATATCCCAACTTATTGTGTCCAGTACGAACTCAATCCACAATAAGTCGAGAACCCGAACGAGAGTCCAAACAATCTCACCCCCATCAACTAATCCAAACCGGCTGCATCAAACATGACTGCCTACGTATCCTCTTGCCCAAGGAATCAAGCCGAACGTAGTTCACCCAAATGGCCGCCAACGGCCTCAACAATCATGAATATACAACAAGTTTCGACAATGATCAAACTTGTTGCTCGGAACCACCTTAGTGAGCATATCCACCGGATTATCCTTCGTGTGGACTTTCATAATCTCCACATCACCATCTTCAAGAACATCTCGAACGAAGTGATAACGAACGTCAATGTGCTTCGTCCTCGCATGAAAAACCTGATTCTTCGCCAAATAGATAGCACTCATGCTATCACAATGAATAGTGACTGACCTCTGTGATATACCAAGTTCCTTCAAAAGTCCTCGAAGCCAAATAGCCTCCTTCACAGCCTCCGTAACTACCATATACTCTGCCTCCGTCATAGACAAAGCCACCATCGACTGTAAGGTGCATCTCCAACACACCGGTGCATGGGTCAAAGTAAACACATACCCCGTAGTAGACCGGCGCTTATCCAAATCCCCGGCATAATCCGAATCAACATAGCCAATGCATAACTGCCCACCTGTAGTGTACCGCTCATAAACTAAACCAACATTGAGCGTACCTCGAATGTACCTCAAAATCCATTTCACGGCGTCCCAATGACCCACTCCTGTATCGTGCATGTATCTCGATACCATGCTTACTGCCTGTGACAAATCTGGTCTCGTACATACCATCGCATATTTCAAGCTCCTAACTGCGCTCGCATATGGAGTCTTCGACATTAACTCTCGATCTTCAACTGACTTTGGTGAAAGACCAGCTGAAAGCTTCAAATGGGCTCCCAAAGGTACACTAACTGGCTTCGTATCCATGCTAACATGAAATCACTGTAGAACCTTCTTCAAATAAGCCACCTGTGTCAAACAAATCCTGCCCTTCTTCTTGTCTCTGCCGATCTCCATCCCTAAAATACGCTTCGCCTCAAACTCATTTGAAAGCTGAACTTTCAACTCATCTATAGCCGACCTGGAAATAGAGGAAACCAACATGTCATCGACATAGAGCAACAAATAAATGTACGCACCTCCTTTTAACTTACGAAAATATACGCAAGGATCAAACTGGCTCCGAGTGTACGAATGACCAATCATAAAACCATCGAATCGCCTATACCACTGTCGAGGAGACTGCTTCAAACCGTATAGTGATTTCTTCAGTTTGCAAACTAATTTTTCCTTCCCTGTAGTTCGGAATCCTAACGGCTGAGTCATATATATTTCTTCATCAAGATCACCATGAAGAAATGTTGTCTTCACATCCAACTGATCTAACTCCAAACCATACTGTGCCACCAAAGCTAGCAAAATCCGAATTGAAGAGTGCTTCACCATCGGAGAGAAAGCCTCATTATAGTCAATACCTTCCTCCTGTGCATAGCCCTTCGCAACTAACCTAGCTTTGAACCTCAATGGAGTGCCCTCAATGCCCTCCTTCTTCGTGTATACCCACTTGCAACCAATTACCTTCCGCCCCTTTGGAAGCTCAAAAAGCTCCCTGTTTGCGTCGAAAATTGTTGTATTCATTGCTGTATTCATTACAACTTTAGTCGTTACAATGAAACAAAAAAAGATTGTCTTTTTTATAAGACTTTCACACAATGAAAACAAAAGCTACAATTCTCGTAAAAACAAACGCAGAGATCGTTTATCGGTCTTCTGCTTGCGTGGGTCTTTTGCCTGTGACGGGGACGTCAATATCCGTGGACTACCTGGCACTCAGATCTGTTCCGAAAAATCGGACAGAGCTTCGTTGACCCGTATGAGATCTAGAAGCCTGAAGCGTCTATCTCGGCTAAAACGAGATATCTGCTCTTCTTAGTGATTACCGGCGAAGGGTAATACTAAGGAAAAGGGGGACAGGTGATGAAGGCTCTGATGAAGACCTCTCTCTTCCTTGGTTGAAGCGCTCGACCACTCTTCACTGCAACAGGGCTTCGCCAACTTCTCCAAAAATCCAGATCTTCAAAAATGAGGCCCAAAGGGGCTATTTATAGGCAAGGGGGAGCAACTAGGGTGCCTAGACACCCATGGGGTGTTTTGACTTTCCCGAGACACCCCGGGTGTCCCAACTTAGCCTGAGACGCTCCGTTGCGTATGAACTCGGATTTGACTGATTCCAAGTGCGTTGGAAGCTTGACGAAGAGTTCTATCTGTTCCAATGGTTGGATTATCTGTAGAATGAACGAGACTCGAAGGGCGTTGTCCTTTTTGTGAACATCGCCGGGTTCCCGATTGGTCCGGGTCTTCGTTGTTCCGAAATCCTATCAGCTCACGTAGTTCGTCGATTCACTTTAATCGTTCATCAACGTCAATTGGACTCCTGTGGATCGTATAGTGATGTTCATCGTCGCTCTTTAACATTGAACCGTTTGTGGAGACCTATAGGCATTTTTCGACGCCTACAGATACCCCCTCCAAAGTGTTCCGGACTCGTTTTTTTTATAGAAGAGGCTGGAATACTTTGGATGTGATTGGTCTAGCCTTCAGTCGGCGTAAGGACCTGTAGTTAGCTTTAACTCTTGGCTCCTTTGATTTTCGGTCCATTCGAAGCTTTGACGAATAGCCGAAGTTCTTTCGGCACTGCGTTTATCGCTTGGCCATCGTCAGAGTCTCGAGTCTGCAGCTGATGAATTGAGTTTGGCTCGTGTCATTGAGTTGACTTTGAACTACCTCCGTCACATTGTGTTGACTTAGGGTTTCAGATCATCGTGTGTTGACTTTTTGTCGCAACGCGTTGACTGGCGTTGACCTAGGGTTACGCGTTGACCGGCGTCCACCCTAAGGTTTCGGATCGTCGAACGTTGACTTTCGTTTGCAACGCGTTGCTTGGCGTTGACCTAGGGTTACGCGTTGACCGGCGTTGACCATAGGGTTTCGAATTGTCAAATGTTGACATTGGTTGCAACGCGTTCTAGGGTTACGCGCTGACCGGCGTTAACCCTAGGGTTTCGAATCGTCGAACGTTGATTAGTGTGGATTTTGAATCCTCGAACGTTGACTTTTGTCGCAACGCGTTGACTGGCGTTGACCGTGGGTTACGCGTTGACCCTTGGGTTTCGAATCATCGAACGTTGACTTTGGTTGCAACGCGTTGACTGGCATTGACCTAGGGTTACGCGTTGACCGACGTTGACCCTAGGGTTTTGGATCGTCAAACGTTGATTAGTGTGGATTTTGAATCCTCGAACGTTGACTTTTGTCGCAACACGTTGACTGGCGTTGACCTAGGGTTACGCGTTGACCGGTGTTAACCCTTAGGGTTTCGAATCGTCGAACGTTGACTTGTGTTGCAACGCGTTGACTGGCGTTGACCTAGGGTTACGCGTTGACCGGCGTTGACCCCAGGGTTTCGCGCATCGAATGTTGATTGGTGTCGATTTTCATCAAGACATCCAATAATCGACAAAAACGGGTGAATTCGGGCCTTAAAATAGGCGTACGGGGACAAAACGGGACCCGAAACACCCGTGGGTGTCTCACCCTTGGCCGAGACACCTTAGGGTGTCTCGGCCAAGGCCGAGACACCCTAGGATGTCTCGGTTCTAGGACCGAGACACCCCCCCTCTCTTTGTCTGTTTCTTTTTTTGTTTGTTTCCCTTTTTAGCTTTCTCCCTTGTTTTGGCTTTATTGCCTCTTTTGTTTTCCCCCTTCTTTTCAAATTTTCAAAAGAAAATCCCTCTCCAACTCCTTCTTCTTCCTTTAATCCTTCCACCATTGTTCCTCTCCAAAACCCATACCAAGTTTTCGGATTTTTGTTCCCCTCTTGGCCGAGTTTGATCTCCTTTCAAGCTAGGGTTCCTCCTTCATCCTCAAGCTCAAGAAAAGCCTCTTGATTTGGTAAGTTCCCCTTTACAAGATCTCCTTTTTTTTTGACAAGATTGTAGCTTTATGTTTGTAATGGGGGTATGCTATGAACTCATATGCAAAGATTACAACTTTTTGTTCTCATGAGTTAAAAGATAGGCTCTTTGATGATGGGTTGTGGATGCACAAAGCTTTGGGGGGTTTTATGCAAAATTTGCAATGTGGCCGAAAATTTGAGGGGGCTTTTATGCAAAATTGGACTGAAATTGGCTAAATTCTACAAAATGGCTCATTTGTAAAATTAACCAAAATTGTGGGGTATCGGGGGGTGCTATATGATCAGACATGATGACCATGACCCAACCCGAGCGTGTCCTTGACCAAAATTCACCG